ATGTAGATGGAGATAGGGGAGGAAGGTAGATAGATGTAGATAGATGTATAGAGAGGGAGAGAGAGATATAGATTAAATGTGTTTGAGAAGAGATAGAGTAGATAGAGATAGGGAGAGAGGGGGAGATATAGTAGCTGGGAGATAGGGGGAGAGAGGGAGGAGAGAGGAGATAGATAGATAGAGAGAGAGAGAGATATAGAGAGCTAGAGATACAGAGAGATAGAGGTAGAGATAGAGACGATGAGAGATGAGTAGAGTAGAAATGGGGAGAGAGAGAAAAGGGGATAGAGATGAAAGGGGGATATGTGTAGGGGATAGATAGTAGATGGATATAGAAGAGAGGCGAGAGAGAGAGATGGATAGAGAGATAATGTGGGAGAGATAGAGGGAGAGAGATGCGGGAGAGAGAGAAGCAGGGAGATATAGAGAGGGAGAGGATGGTGAGATGAGATGGAGAGAGAGATCATAGGGAATATAGTAGAGAGAGAGAGAGAGAGAGAGGAGAGGATATATACGGAGAGAGAGAGATAGATGGGAGAAGAGATAGGTAGTAGAGAGAGAGAGGTAGAGAGAGAGAGAGAGAGAGAGAGCGATATAGAGAGAGAGAGAGAGGAGCGAGACAGAGAGAGAGACGAGAGAGAGACAGAGAGAGAGACATAGAGAGAGAAAGAGAGAGAAGAGAGAGAGGAGAGAGAGAGAGAGGAGAGAGAGAGAGAGACAGAGACAGAGAGAGAGAGAGAGAGAAAGAGAGAGAGAGAGAGAGAGAGAGAGAGAGAGAGAGAGAGAGGACCGATAGCGAGAGGAGAGAGAAAAGGGGGGAAGGGAAAAAAAAATGGCAAAAAGGAAAAGAAGTGTAGAGGAGAGAAGAGAGAGACAGAGAGAGCGAGAGGACACGCAGAGAGAGATACAGAGACAGAGAGAGAGAAAGAGAGAGGAGAGAGAGAGAGAGGAGAGAGAGAGAGAGTGTAGAGAGAGAGAGAGAGATAGAGAGAGGAGATAGACACAGGGAGATAGAGACACAGGGGAGAGAGAGACACACGGAGATAGGTACAAGAGAGATAGACAGAGAGAGGAGAAGATAGAGAGATAGAGATAGGGAGATATGATATGGAGAGAGAGAGATAATATAAAAGAGGTATAGAGAGAGATAGAGATGTAAATAGGGAATATAGAAATGGGAGTAGAGAGAAAGGGGTAGAGAGTAGTGAAATGTGGAGAGAGAGAGAGGAAGATAGAGATGGAATAGAGAGAGAGAGAGATAGAGAAGACGAGAAGAGACAGATAGATAGAGATAGAGAGATAGGGAGAAGACATAGGGAATATAGATAGAGAGAAATATATATGATAAGAGATAGAGATAGAGGTCAGATAGATGGAGATATATGGAGAGAGATAGAGAGAGAGAGAGAGAGAGAGAGAGAGATTATGAGAGAGAGAGACAGAGGAGAGAGATATAGCTGAGATAGATACGAGAGAGAGAGAGTAGCAGGAGATATGAGGGAGAGACTACAGAGTGTAGAGAGAGATGAGAGGATAGAGAGAGAGATAGATAAGAGAGAGGGAGATAGAGGGATAGAGCAGAGATAGAGAGAGAGAGGGCGATAGAGAGAGAGAGAGAAGAGATGGAGAGAGAGAGTAGAGAGATAGAGAGAGATAGCGAGATAGAGAGAGATGGAGAGAGAGACTAGAGAGATGGATAGATAGAGATGGAGATATTATATGGATATAGAGAGAGGTAGAGAGAGAGGGATACAGAGATGGAAGAGAGATAGGTAGCTAGAGAGAGGGAGAGATAGAGATAGTGGAGAGAGATATAGAGAGGAGAGATAGGAGAGATGAGAGATGGAGAGAAGAGAGAGAGAGATTACAGAGATGAGACAGAGAGATTAAAAAAAAAAAGATGAGACATTAGAGAGTATTATAGAGGATATATGACAGAGATATACAGATAGAGAGAGAGTATAGTAGGATGAATATATATAGATAGCGAGAGAGAGAGTATATAGAGATAATTAGGAGAGATAGAGAGAGAAGTAGATAGACATGATATGAGAGACAGAAGATAGAGAAAAGAGAGATATACAGTAACGAGATATATACATATAGAGAGAGACAATATATATAGAAAGATAGATATAGTACATATAGATATAGATCCATAAGAGATAGAGAGAAGAGGGAGAGATATAATATAGATATACAGATGTAGAGAGATAGATATAGATATAGGAGATAGAATAGATAGCGATATATATATGGATAGAGTAGAGATAGAGATATATATATATCGAAGAGAGAGAAGAGAAGAGAGAGGAGGGAGGATAGGTATAGAGAGAGAGAGGGATAGAGAGTGGATAGAGAAGAGATGAGATCTAGAGATAGATATATATATATTATGCTATATAGAGATATAGAGAGATAGAGTAGATAGAGAGAGAGATAGATAGATATTAGATAGAGATACAGAGAGATAAGATATATATATAATAGTATATAATAG